TTTTCTCATCATAAGGAAGCTCAGTCTGAACACAAAAATAAATACTGTGGAACTGCAGAAGATTTCTTCATCAAGAACAGATGAATAAACCCTTGCAAACTTGTTGAGAGAAACTGCTCCTCTCTGTTAGGTTTTCCAGAAGAATAAGTGTAAAAGAATGGTTGAAATAATAAATTCTTCTGAAAAAAAATAGTTTCCTGTTGAGTAATCCAGGGCTTTGTTGTTTCTCAGGAAGCAGAGGGCTGCAGACTTAAAAAAAAAAAAATCAATGCACTGGTTAGCATGGACTRATAAAGTAACTGCTAACATTACTTGATATGCCTCTGAAAATATATTTATTGCCCCAAGAATTCCCCAGCAATAGTTTTCKGACTGGTTTTGTTTGCCTTGTGGGATTTAGAGTCTATTGACATGAGATATAATTTAAAATAYAGGAGGATAAGAAATACTTCATTTAAATAATTACTTTTTTTTTGCMAAGTACCTACCTATCCAAATCTATCAAGAAACTGATAAATAAAAGTCTCAATCCTGGGCCCACACAGATGGAAAAGGAAAGGATTGCCTGTAGRCAGAGTTAAGATAGTGGGCTTTTGCAAATAACAAAACATACCCAAGCACTRTGGTCAGAGGTCTTTTTGAGTGAACCAGCACAAAGATGAGCTTGCAATTATCTAATCTAAGTGCATTGCTGTTGTGGGATCTGCTGTATGCACTCTAGGGCTGAAGGTAAGTGCTAAAGGCCAGCACCAACAGAACCAGCCCAAAATTTTGCACAGCTTGACCCAAGCTCAGTAACATCTTCTGGAAAGAAAGCTAGTATTTCAAGAGGACAAGTTAATATTGAGTTGCTTGCCTTCAAAAAGTAATTATCAGTTTTCTTAGTGCAGTGCAGCAATGAACTCTTTTGCAGAGGTGACATCTTGAGGGTGATGCCTGCTTCCTACCCATCAATGTCACCTGCAAAGTTTTTAGTGAGCTACTGCAGGARGAAAACTTAGGAGAACAGAGTCATTTTAATCAATGATTTTCCTCTCAACCCTTAATGTTGTTAACTTAAGAAGTCATTAGAATGCTGGCATGAACAGGAGACAATACTTATGGGTTTTAATGWATGCAAATGTGGGGAGGAACTCTTTTTCATCTTCTAAGGAACAGAAGGGATTAATCTAAAATGGTATTCTTAATTACTCAGGTCATGCCTTCTTTGGTGAAAGGCAATAAAAATCAGAGACTGTGAGTATTTCTATATTTCTGAATTAAAATGTTGATGCCATTAGCTAAGGAATACTTCAGTGTCAGTTTGAAACAAATGTCTCCAATACACTTTCAATATAGATTTTAAAGGTTCATTATTCTTGGTTTGTTTTATGCCAGTTTAACATTAAAAGCAGATTTTCAGAGGCTTAGGAAGCATGCATCCTTTACATGAAGATTAATCCTCAATAAACATGCCTTTAACAAACAGTTCACTATATATGTACAGCAAGGAATTCAAGTCACAGAATCCTCATAAGATGCTTATTTTAAAGTACTATAATTTCCCTGCTTATCCTGTACTTGCTTCTCTAATTCAATGGAAAACCGATTATTACATAGGCATAAGAAATGTTTCTAATTTGGCTTTTGCCAGATCTCCTCTTAGCACATATTACTTTCTGACAGATTGCCCCAGTTTAATATAGAAAMTGCATAAATAAGGTGTTGTCAGAAAAAGAAAAGTTTGTCAGAAAGAAAAAGTGTACGTCTTTGTTTCCTACAGAGAACAATTGCATGTGAATAGATACATGTTTTCTGAAAGGCATAATTCTACCCTGAGACTGGTGACAACTGATTGAGTCCTAAAGGGTTCAGAGTGTCCTCTCCAAAGACWGGAGGCAGATTAAAATTTGTCTGGTGTCATGTCAAAGGGAAAATGTTCTAGTGTGGATTCATTCAAGGACTCACAAACAACTGCAGACATTTAAATTGGTGTCAAAACATGTCTTGCTACAAATTTTCCTAAAATTTGAAGACAAAAGGAGATTAAAAAATCCTGATCTCAATTTTGTAGCTCAGTCAATCTCCTCCATTACCTAAGTCATGGGTGAAAAGTGCTTTCAGGTAGAAACCCTGTAAAAAGAGATGATGTCATTTTAAAATTGGACAAAACTTGCTATTCTAGCTTAATTTAATTTTGAGTTCTTGCCTTTATTTTAATTTAAAAAATTCAAATTAAAAAAGATTTGATAACATAAAGATTTAAGCAAACATAGACACTAAGAAGAACAACAATCCTTCCCTCATTCTCCTTCCAGTCATTTTATGAGATGGAGTTTTTCCCTCTCAGTCTGTTACCAATGCATCACCCATGCAATGCTGGTCACTTCTATCTCAATCATTTATACTTTTTCTGAAATTGGGAGRTATTTATGTTGAGCAACATATATTYGGCTGTACTTTTATWATTTCACATGTATTTCTGTGTTAACACCTTCCAGCACAACTTTGGAGATGGGGCATATTCTTTCTGGCAAGTGTAAGGATTTTAATCCCTGCTCATCTATATGTCTAAAGAGAGGAAGGAGATCATTGCTTTATGGTAGAGATCATTGCTTGTCTTCTCACTGCTCTTCTGTGCCATCTTCACAAGTATTCAATAGGGAGATAATTATTTTCGTTTCCATATCTTTTAATGGCTTTAGATGCACAAATATTTTTGTATTGTTGTGTTGTATTGTATTGTATTGTATGTCCCCTTATACCTGTAGGATGGGAAGACCACAGCCTTCTGCACACTGTTGTCCTGTGAAAGAGCTGCATGAAGGTAGAAAGGAGGGCTTGCATGGCTGCTGTGTGAGCTGCCCAGCAGGGTTTGGTATAATCCATCTCACTAAACAGCCTGTAAAACCTGTTAAGATAATGGTAGGAAGGTGCCTGGAGGGTAACCCCAGAGCTAAGMTTTCTGACAATAGCAGGTCTTTCTGTAGAGAAATTGCAGGACCTGAAGCTTTTGCAAAGCTGAGGAATGAAATCCTAGTTTTGTTTAAGGCAGAAAAGATTTTGCTAGTKTTGTTACCAGGTGTATCAGTTCAGGTTGAGATGCAAACCAGCATCCAGCAAACCTTTGGGTATCAACAGGTCTAAAGAGGAGCATTTTGTCTCTTCTAGGGGAAGGTAAGAACACTTCACAGCTGAATCATCTTCAGGAGACAAAAATCAGGCTGGAGACAAAAAATACCCTTTTTCCCAAGGCTATTTGGAGTCATCTGTGGTTATGTTGCAGATCAAGCAAATGACATAACATTTTTTGCCTGTCAGTTTTACTACAGAGGAGCACAGGCTTCGCCTACAGTAAACTACCTTTGTCTTTCTTTCTTTTCCATTCCTCCCAGAACAGTTCAGACCTGAGGTTCWCCAAACCCTGGTTACTTCACAGTTTTGGGGTTTTTGTTTTTTTTTTTCACTCGTGCCCCTGTGCCAAGCAGCAGGTGTAGCACAAGGCTGAGAGTAAGCCTCTGGGCATGATTCTGGTGACCCACTTTGCACAGCTGACAGATGCCTGCTTCCTGTGAGGCTGTCCCTGCTGCAGGGAAGGTCTGGGCTCTCAGAGTGGGGGGTGTGTGTGTGTACAGCTGCTCATAGGAAGTGGAGAAATAGACCTTTCTTGCAGGCAAGGTGTCCCATTAGCCCTGAATTTGAGACTGACCTTTTCTTTTCTGGTGGAATCTAAGACCAGGTGGACCTTTGCTTCTCTCAAATGGGCATATGGTTATGTGCAGGGCTCATGTGATGATATTAATGATTGGTGATTAGTACAAGGAAATACCAGRCACATGGCCTGTTCTATAGGGGGTCATCAAGCTAGATGTGGTTGCTGTATTTCAAGAAAATGCCTAATAGCCTAAAGGCTTTCTAATAGCATTAAAAGTTTTATGATCTGGAGTAAGGTAATCAAATCTCATGCTTCAGGGCACACGCTGATCTCCACAGGAACCAGGAAGACATTTCCCAACATGAGAGCTTTTTGCAGTTGTCTGGGTGGTTTCCATCTTTTCCYAGATTGATGGTGAATGGAGTCTGTTGGAAGCAGGACACTTGAACTGCATGGAGTGACCCCCACATACCTGTGTCCCCATGTAGCTCTTAAAGAGCTAAAGATTTTGAATCCTATAGAAATGAATGCATTATGACAGGAAAGCTCCYGCAAAAACCCTTCAAAGTGAAATCCTAGGCCAGCTTTCAGTCTCTATTAGGTAGGTGCAGTGCTCATTGAATTCACTCCCAGAACAGAGAACAATACTTGGCAAGCTGCTTCTAGTGAGGAAAAATGATTAATGTCATATGTCAAGTGCTCATAAAATGGTGTGGCACTTGTACATAGMGTCTTTTCTCATCTTAGGTATGAGGCCAGTCACTGCATCAAAGCAAAGCAGTGTTCACAGCATTGGTTTTGTTCTCCAGCTCCTAACACACTGTCATGCCAGCCAGCTTCTCTCTATGCCGATCTGATAAAATCTGTGCTCTGTTTTGGCTGCCTTCCTCTCTTCTTCTACTTTTAATTGTCTCTGTGGCTTTTTTCTTCCCTTTTTTGTTTTTCTTCTCATTCTCTTCTGTCCAACTGAAGGAAACAATTTGTCAGTTGTTATTGAGATTTTTACTTTGATCTGGATAATGTAAAATATTTTAATCCAGAATGAAATATGAGGCTACCACTTTGTCATTAGAAAAAAAAAAGTTGTTTTTTTTTTTTTCTCATGGGAACATTTATATAGGCATATATATATATACACATAATTAACAGTAGCATGGACAAAAGCAAATTGCTTCAGCAAAGCAGCATTTACCATCAGTCCAAGACTTCTTGATATTTCCTTCTTGGAACACCATGTTTGCATACATTTTTCTTATGATATCACAATCAATGTCCTTTTTGGGCCCAAAGTTATTWTACCTTTTGACACCACAGTCAGTATTTTCCCCTAATAGTACCCTGATATTTTTGTCATTATCTTTCACAGCCTTGTAAAAGATGTGAAGATGCAGCTGAAGAAGAGTTTTGAAAAGCTGTATCTCCGACACTGAGGACAAGAAAAGCAATTGGATCCTCATATACTTTGTTGGTTTAATGACCAAAATAACTTGAGTTTTTGCAAAAGGAAAGCTAGTCCTCTGTCTGAGAGAAAGAAGACAAGGTAGTCAAATTACTCTGTCATTGCTTTTTTATTTACTAGTTACCTCCCCTGCTCCCCCCTTGTCTTCTGTTCACTGGAAAATATAAAAGTAGCAAAAAAGTAGGTACAAATATAATACAGACCGTAACAGTGTTACCTTTGTCATTCTGCATGAATGGTGAAATAATTCAGCAGAACAAGGTGAAATAATTCACAGGAAATACTGCTGCTGGAGAAAGCCTCCAGTGTTCATATCAGGAAATACCCAGAAATGCTGGAAYGCACAAGCTCTCAAAACTGTGCACCTTTGAGGTGAAGCAGGAAAACAAGAAGTGACAACATTTCACATCATGGTCACTTGTACTTATTTCTCTAAAGGGGGCCAAAGATGCTTTGATTCTGCTTTACACATCCTTGTGGAGTTGTCATGATCTCCTTGTTCTCCCCTAGGGTTTGATACAAATGGCAAACTTGAGAAGTCTGAAGACGGTGAGAACAGTGGGTTTTAAAAAGTGATTTGAGGAAGGGAGAGTGATTAACTTGAAGTGGGAAAAGACTAAAGCTGTGACTTATGATGCAAGAGGGGTGGAGTTTTAAATGGCCTTGGAGAAAAGGGTAAGAGCTCTTATCCTCCTGCAGGAAAAGAAGGAAATCCAATAGACAGATAACAAAATATGGCAGAATTTTTGTCAATGATTTTGCTTTTTGTGAACCAGAATGCTTCAGTACTAGAAAGCAATGGAARCAGAGATTATGAGAAGTTACAGCTATGTAGGACACAGCTGCGAACAGCTTCTAGAGCAGCTTTTATTTGCTTCTTTTCTTCAGCAGAAGACCACCATACACTCAGAAAGAGAGWCTAAAATTGGGTCTCAGCCATCAGCCAGCCAGTCAGACACAGCTCTCCTGGGCAGAATGGGGACAATGCACAGCCTGGATGCACAGCCTGGAAGGTAAGATGAACAGAGCATCTGGGTGGGGAGGGAAGAGTGCAGGAGATGTAAGAAGGTGAGTCTGTTCCACCTAGGATGATTAAGGAGCCAGCTTTGTTTCCATTGCAACATCACTTACAAAACACAAGCCCAATCCCTAATGAGCTTATCTTTAAAAATAAGAGAAAGCCTTTCTTGCCTCAGAGTACTTGTTATGTGCTCAGAMTGTGTTGTTCTCTTTCCAAAAGCTTTTCATCTTAAAGTGAGTGTTCGCCAACCCAGTCTGAGACGGAGCTCTGTGAAACAGCATGGCAAAAGAACAAGGCTGCATGCCATTCAACTTTAATAAGTCATGGGAGAAGATATTGTTTAGCCTTGCAGAGTTTATACTCTCAGATTTAWAACTGCAAGTAATTAAAAGGAAGCAAGCCATCTCGAACCTGTCTGTGCTCCAGCTTTTACAGGGCCCYGTGTCTCGTGTCTGGCACGACTCAAGGGTCTGTGTCCTTTTTGAAAATGAAGGGACTAATTGGGTTGTCTGCTCCTTGCTAGCGGTGGAGGCAGCTCTGTGGACAGTGGTGAGAGTTCATGGGGTCTCCAGGCTGGCTAGGGAAAAGGAAGAACTTTGTTAAACTTTTCCTTTCTTGTAAAGCAGGTTTTTTGGTCTGTTGCCATCACAGCAACTCCAATACTTTGGTCCCTCGTGCAAAACTTAGGATCTTGAAAATCTGGGCTGGGGAGTGAGTGCACATGCRAAGCACAGCAGGGCTGGGGTCCCACGTTGCCTCTTGGAGGCAGCTGTGACCAGAAGCTGTGAGCAACCTGGGGAGACTCACAGAGGTGGCAGATCTTCCTAGAAGTCTGGTCTGGCTTGTGAAATGCACTAGGCAGGATCCTGGAGTTCTAGTCCTCATATGACCCAATCTCCACGTTCCACTGCATCATCATTTAGGCCTTCTCAAAGGTGTGTGCTGYCTTTGTCATCTGCTCTTTGAGCTTTCCATATGACTACAAGGTATCTATAGTGACCAGACCTGTACACTCAAGTGGCATGAATATTCATTATCAAATTTTTTAAAAAAATTTTAAGGGGATAAAAGTTGTCATGAAAACTTGTGTGATCTGGGAAGCGTCTTTTTCAGTCATTTTGACTGAAAAAGCCTGGTCCAGCACACACTATGATGCTGTTATCAGGACATTAGTAAATTCAGAGACAAATACAAATAACTCTCATCGTTCAAGAGCTGATCTACAGCTGAACATATGTGCTAAAGCTCAGTGGAAAAAATGCTAACAAAAGTGCCCACTGCCTAGAGCAGTTTAAATCCAGCAATGGCAACAGTCTGGCTGCTGATRCACAGTCCTGCCTGCTGTCTTCTTGGATTTGGATGCCAGCAAAACACTTGTCCTCAGAGCTGCAGACCTCGAACTGATGGTTTCAGAGCAGAGAATGATTCATTTTTGTCAAGTCCTGAACATAGACACTTGCATAATAATTTAAAGAGGTTAAGTACTATGGCAGTGGAGACCTGTTGAATTCCTTTTTGCAAATTTGGAACAATAATTAGGAACTGTGGCAAAACTACTTAACATTCAGAAGGCCCACTGAGGCAAAACACAGGCCTAAACTAAAAGCCAAAAATACAGCATCAAAAGAAAGATGTCACTCGTTCGTAAGGAAAAAAAGGAAAACCAGGTAGTATCATCACAACAGAAAAAAAAAAGTATCTATTGGGCATCAGCTATTCTTCAGGAAAGAAATAAAATAAATGATAGAATRAAACAAAATATTGACACTTAAAGACTTCAGTCACAGTGATGGAAACTTTCTTMTTAGGGGATAGATCACTGAAGTATTAGTCTGCTAAACTTCTGGCTGAGAGCAGTGGACAGGATGGTTACTGCCTTYGCCAGTCAGAACAGAGAAAGGGCTAAGCTGAACTGTGAGTGCCACTTGTCACAGAGGATCCACCAGCAGCAAGGTTTTATGATTTTGGCTGGCATATCCTTCCCTGAGCACCACTGCCAGCTCTGTCTCCATGCTCTGGAGTGGACAGGATTGATGATGAGCAGATACACAACAACAAAATGAACAAAGTGAACACTTCTGCCTCCTTCAGGTCCATTGAAAGCTGTTCACAGTCTTACTTCTTATTCAGAGTTTTTTAGAAAGCCTCTTCACTGTCCTCCTACAGTAAGGATCCCAACACCTTAGGCACAATGGCACAATCATGAATAACTTTACTGAAGGTAATGGAACATTTAACATCTTACATATATAATTTGAACCAGCTTACTGGCTTGAATAGTCCATCTCCATTTTAACAAGCTCTTTCAGATGGAAAAAGAGAGGGGAAAGTCCCCACTGGGGTATCAGACCATGGATCATATCCAGAAATTATTWGTAGGTGCTGGTTGGCAGACACTTACCTGTGAACTCTCTAACAGGGAACTGTAGAGACAATTGATTTCAGTGCTTAGGACTGTTCTGGGCMCTGTCTAATTTACTAAGACTCACATAAGCTCATTGTCTAAAGTGGTGTATTCCAGGGAGCTYCTCAGTTCCAGGATCTGGATATATGTTCCCTTGCCTCCCAGTCATGCTCTGAAGTGTGAGAAAGGCAATCTCATGTTCTGGGAAGGAGACTTGAATACRCAAGTGAGAAGGGTGACTGACTATCCAGACAACTGTGGGACTAGAGTGCTCTGGCACACATTTCATCATCGGTCATAGTAGCTTTTATAAGGTATTTCCTCATTTTGTGCCAGTCCTAGACCTACTTCATGTTTGTGTCAGCAGGTCTTCATCTGCATCTATTTTTCTTCTGACCTTTTTCTATGGAAAATGGCTGTGTTTGCCCTTGAATTGCTTCCAGAGAACTATCTGGGCACGAACAGGTCCATAATTAAACCAAACTATTTCAGCTTACGGGAATAACTGAGTGCAGTTTATGTGAGAGGAATGATGTATATGATCCCAATGGAAGCCTGGAAAGACTTTATCAGCATGTCACAATAATTTCACAGCTTAAGTAGAGACGCCTAGAATAGACTCATGAGGCACATGTGTATTACTAAGAGCTTTCCTATATTAATTTCAATGCACTTGCTTAAAAATACCGTCCATGGAAACAAAGAAAATGGTGTTGTTAATCGCATATTGGACAAACACTGGAGAGTTATGTCTTGAGCCCAGCAATGTGACTGCTGCTCAGGGTGAGAGCTTCAGAGTTCATCAGAATGGCTTGAGCGATGSTAAGTGGACATTCATCTTCTCCAGYTGCATTCATGATGTGCTTCACACTATGAGAGACTTTAACGGTGTTAAAAGAGGTCAGAAGGGGGTTTGAATCTCAGAACATCTGTCCRTCAAGACCCACTCCTGGGGTCATGACCCCACTTTCAATTACACTGGCAAGCTTGTGCATGAAAGTAAGGTTGTGACCCTTGTTTAGGAACTAGTGGCTTAAAATAAGCTCTGGGGAGATGGAATAGAAAAACATTTGYGAAGCAGTGTATACTTGGAATGGAATGTCAAGTGTAGGGTACTTTCCAAAGAGACAAGKCTGCAGTGAGGTCATGCAAACATGCAATGCTTTGTATTTCTGTTTAGGTCATTCTTTTTCTCCATAAAAAGGGAAAAGCTAACCATTCTTAAGACAGAGACAAATATAGCAGCAGCAGGGATTTGTTTATTTGGAGATTGAAGTCTCTGTCCTGTATTGGAATCATCAAAGTGCAGGAGTTATACACCTAGAAGTATATATTAACACTTTCTGTTGGAAATTGGGTGCTCATTTGTTGGAAATCAGGATAGAGTGTAAGCTACTGATTAAGGTATTAGCCAGTCAAAGGATGACTGTGAAACAGAGGCAGGATCAGTCTTGAGCAAGTTCACATGTCATCTTAAGATTTATCAGATACAATGTTTTCAGCACAGTTTGGAAACGAGTCCAAAGCATCGCTGGGAATTCAAGCTCTGGTTAAATATATTTTCTAATTCACTTTCTTCAGCAAAGTCAGACAAAACCTGCAGAGTTAGTGATTGAAATGGCCAGGGGATGAGAGTTCTGTCTTGCAAGGTAGAGACTGAGAAGGACAGTGAAAGAAAGCATAGGTAGCATTTCTTAAGTATATTGGTGAGTAAAGGAAAGCAGGGGAAGGAACTCTCTGAGCTTAAAGACAATGTTGACCAGAATATTTTTTCCTTAAAATATGTCTRTGAATCACCCTGGTTAGAAACAAAAAGAACTGGCAGTACTGAAAAGTTTTAGCAGAGTATGAGTCTGGGGCAAGGAACCGAGCTGGTTTCAAGATGCAATTTGCTGAATGGAATCATATAGGAAGATGTATGCAGTATCGGGAAACAGGGACCAGCTATACAGACATTAAATAGCTGATATTCCTAGTCTTCAGGAACAATAAGARTATGATTATCCTTCTGCCAGTAATGTATCCTGGGTATGGAACATCACCCAAAATTCTTCTTAGCCTGACACTGGAACACTTACACAAAACTAAGGTGGAGTTAAGTCTGCTGCTCTATAGCAGATTTCTTTCTGATGAAGAGTGTTGTTTTCCAGATATGTAGCCAACATTGTGCATTGCTTAATGTCATATTATCACTTGCAGTTACATGCAATTTGTCTCACTCTAYGGTGTTTACCACTTTTAAATGTGGGTAGTCAGTCATAATAGCATTCTTACTGTGTTAAGCAGTGTCTTCCTACCCCATTTGCTTATTTCATTTTATGTGAAACAAATGTGATTTTCCTCAGTTCTTTGCTATTTTAATTCCACATATTTTTTCATGATCAATTAACCTGTTTTTACTGAAAWGTTTACATAGATTTCCAAGGAAATGCTTATTCCTTTTACTCCATCTATGATTAAGGTGGAAATTTTGTAYGGATTACAAAACAGACTAAAGGGGTGATGGATGCTGCAGCCTACCTTGTGCAATTTTGCTGACTTTTCAAACCAGATTTATTCTGGTGAAAGAGAAGGCATTTAGTACT